TAATAAACAAAGGAGATATTTAAATAAAAATAAATAAAACAAATCTGCTGTAAAATGATTTATCCCTTCTTATTTCGACTAAAATTTATAAACTTATCTATATAAATAATCATTTATCATTTTATTTAGTCATAAACCATGAATTCGTCGACCATTCCTGGGTTTGACAGTTTCTATTTCGCTTTACATTTCAAAAGACATTAACTTAAACAAGTTATTACGAATTCGCTTAATTTAAACAAACAATAGTCGAAAAGAAATTCAATGTTCAAGTTTTAATGAAATCTGAATACACTGTTGACATGTTGTACTCATTATTAATGTAGGAGAGAGGGGGAGAGAGAGGAAGAGAGTAAAAGTAAGGTATTATAACAAAATAGATATTTCCTGATAACTTTTTCTTCTCTACTTTGAATAAATTTTATCTTTAATTGCTTCCGTTTTTGAAGTCTGCTTTTAAAAAAATACACTCAAAAGTAAATGAATAAGTTTGTCTCTTTTGTCAGCAGTTATTATTATCATCATTATTCATTTCTTAAGTTCCAAGTGGAACCAATGGGCTGAGTATTCCACGGCCATGATTTTCAACTGGCTCCACAACTGCCCACAAAGCTTATGGGCAGTAATCATGCATTTGAACTATACAGGATTTCCAGTTTATTATTTTGGAATATAGTTTTTGACAGTTGTTTGTCCAGTCATTTATTAGCTCTCCTGTTGCCGTTGCTGCTGTTGTTGTTGTTATTGTCGATTCTTTTTCCTTTTCAACAGAACGGAATTACGAATGAATAACTGTGAAATTAATTTAGCAATTTATATTACCATAGTACTTTATATTTATATATATGTCTGTTTCTCTATGGGAGTTTTTCCCCCTGATTATGATTATTATTATTATTTGCGTATTAATATACTGACATAATTATAAAACTTTAGAGAAAAATTAATTAGTTGACTAAACGACTAAGTCTAATAGTCGTGGTTGATAACTACCAAATTACGCGTTTATTTATAGAGATTATTGTAATTATCTTTTATTGAAATTGATGGACAATTATGAAATGCATATGTATAGAGTTGAGTACTGGACCAATATTTCGTCTCCGTTTAGGAAACCCTACCACTACGCACCCATGATTCCATCAAGAGAACTGACTGGGGACTATCAGACTACAAGGTGAGCTTATAGACCATTCAACCACTGGGATGGAATTCAGCTTCGCTCAATTCTAACTTCCATGAATCCCTGATATAAAGCTTGACGGCTAGCCAGTGTCATCGGTAACTATCTGTCCTTACACCAAACCTGGTGTACTCCAAGGGTCACGCACTCCCGAAAGTAACTCAAGAAGCTCCATCCTGTAACCTGAAGGTCCTAGACTTGATCCCGTGTGGGATTATGGGAGCATGATACGGAAAAGTCTCAGACACAGACTAAGCAGCTGCCCGGTATTCCCTGGATTTCAGTGGTTCTCCAACTAAATTCAGTTCATGGTCAAACCTGAAATCAATGAAATCCCTGCCAGCCAACACAAGAAAGCTATTTAGTTGATAAGTAGATGTAATAAGACAGATTTGGTAGATTATTGTCATGTTTTTGCTTTGTCCATTACTCAGGTTTAATCCTGTTTAAGCTATTTCCACCTAGTGTGATAAATGATTACTTTTTGTGTGTAACATCTATCAGAAAACATGGCCAAGTAAAATACCGTTATCACTGCTTCTTTTGTCACACATTTAAAACATTTTTTGGCAGACTCTTACCTTTTGCAAAAATAAGTCCACAGCTCTCACCAAGAGAATTTATTGATTAAGCTACTTCAAGTAATTCATTTCTAGCAGGTATAAGTTGGAAATTAGTTGGCAGCAATAAATGACCTCAAGTTTTTTCCTGGTCGACACTCTTCAACAAAAGTAGGATATAACTTCGCGAGAAGTTATGTTCCTTTCGAGATGAAATTTCTCCTTCGAAGGACTCTATAACTTCAGAAATGACGTGGAATTTAATTTGACTATATATTCGAATGTTTTATCCAACTGTAAGCACTGTATTTGTCTGATCTCAGTACTGCTCAAAAATCAGATGGTTTTGTACCATACTAAGCTTTGAAGTCATGCTGACTAAATATCGAAGCTGATGAACAGATATTCACTAAGCCTTACTGCTAGACAGCCAAATTAGTTATACATGTAGAATTTAAGAGTTATAGACACTGCACTGTTTGTCCTAAAGACCCTGTGCTAACTCGTCAAAGGTAAGATGCGTATCTGTATCACTGCTGTTTACAGAAAAATGTCTGAAAACGAATAATTTCTAGTTGATTTCATAAACATACGAATATACTGACAAAGTATGGAAAACATTGAATTTTTATTGATAAAATAAATATCTAATATGTTTTAACACAGACTATTAGTGGGAAATTATCTGGATGTAGACAGGAACATCTAGTTTCGGTGTCAAGAAGATAAATCAGCCCAACCAACAGGTAAGTTCTTAAGCACTTTGCTCTCCCATATCATTCCGAGTTATTACAGAAGTCGTTCCAAATGACGCTTGAAGTAATAGCAAGCCGTTCGAACTGTTTCCGTCCACACCTTTGTATAGCCATTGTTTTTATTACGTATGAGTAAAGCATTTAAACTTTTACATAAAAGCAGTTTGAACGAACCTATTTACTACCACGACCTTACATACATATCTATATTTGTTGTAGCATAAATTTGAATGTAATCTGTCTTTATTTTCCTTTTCAGTCTGTCAATTTAAAAAATATGCTATACGTATTTGGAAGCTCTTATATCCATGTTCCTAAAATTAAAACTGTAATCATTTCTGAACGCTATTCATCACCTACTGTTTTAGATTACGCAAGACTGTTAAATTAGGTCCCACAGTTCGCTAGTTTTGTTCTCGGTATGCAACTCAACACGTTTTATTACCGACTGACATTAAAATCTGTCTCCTACTAGCATTATCTACGGCACTACATAAATACCACTTAACTGTAAAAGTCTGATGAGGAATTATGAGATGACAGAAAACAATGGAACTGGAATGCATTTCTAAATTTCCCTTTGAAGAGTATTTATGATTTCACAAGCCCTTCATGAAACTCAATCTCCAATCAAACCGTCCCTATTTACCTCTATACAAAATAAACAGTTAGGAGTAGCGTAGATGCTTATCAATGAATTATGCATAATATCGTTATAATAAAAAAGATAATATTTTACTGGAAACACAATATTAAAACAATATTTACAATGACACTATAAAGACCGACTTTTGACTATTTTTTATTCCTTTACGCTCCCAGTATAACATAGGGCTCCAAGCTAGAGGCTTGAATTTTCGGTAGCATTGGTGTTTGCTTCTACGGGATGGGGTTGCTAGCCTCATGCCCAATCTTCCCTCTTTACCAGTCTTATAACTGGATTAGTGAGTTAAAGGAGTGCGTCGGCCGGGGATCGAATCCCGGACTACATGCTTGGTCGGCGAGCATCCCACTGATGCGCCACCGAAGCGTCTTTTGACTATACTAAAATCAAATTAGGTAGATAGTTAGGTGCATATTTAGATCATCTTTGCATACTATTAACTTTATATATATATATATCGACAGCTGGGGAATTTTCCTAATACTGTGACATCAAAATCGAATAACTGAAAAAAATGCTTCTCTTTTTGTAGATAAGTGAAGAGGCAGATCCTATTTTTTATATATGCATAATTCAATTTAAACATACATGTAGACTTTAGGTGAACAAATATAGAGTAAGAAGCAATATCAATTAAAGAGCAAACTACACGTCTATGACATAACTCTACTAAATACGCTTAATTTGCGGTAGGTACATAGATATTAGTGCACATAAATAGTATGTGAAAAGTATGTTAAATAGTCATTAGGTTATTATGTAACAAATAATTCCTTAATATGACATATCTTTTCTCTTCTAACTACCATATTTTATTAATTAATGAAAGATCAAGGTTGTTCTTTTTAATTTGCTCGAAAAAAGATAAGTGAAATAATAAATGCACACAGAGCTCATAATACCAATCACTAAAAATTTCATAGATTACTCCTCAAGTAATGAAGAAGATTTGTAACGCAAGTGGATGTTTAAGGTATTGTTGTATTCACTGATGTGGATGTTTTAATTGTGACGTTTTCACTGTCCTTCTGAACAACACCATCAAAGCTAACCTCTGTGTAAAACAGACTTAAGGAATTCAACCGCTACAGAAACCTCACTATGCCAACAAAGTAAGCATATACTTCTCTGGAATCAAAGAGAAGAAATGACGCTAGTCAGTTAAAGCCTTCGAGAAGCCAGTCAGTCGATGAAAGCAAGATGAAGTATGGTGACATGGAATATTGGGGCGATGATTTAGGCTGAGAAGGGTGTTCAAAGTGCCAAAGAAATGAGAAGATAAAGTACAGATGGAAGATCAGATGGCCAGAAACGATAAGAAACAAGAAGCTCTGGCAACGAATTAACCAACAACCTAATGCCTAACAAATATGCCGAAGGAGATGGGGATGGATCAGACACACGCTAAGCTGACCGTTGTGCAACATCGTACACCAAGCCCTCAAGTGGAACCCGAGTGGGAAATGACGAGTTCAGCTTCCGATAGTAACACAGGGAAAACTGTCAAAGAAAGAGACGAAATGTTACTGGCGATCTTAGGGCCAGTTAAAGAAGATTGCAAAGAATAGGATGACATGCAGATGTACTACTGAGGCCCTATTTTCCCCTCGGGACCCAAGAGAATGATCATAAATTATATATGTATATAAATGATAATGAAACCATCTGAGGTAGACATGGATTGTCAGGCCACTATTATTGTAATAGGTTATAACTGTAGGTGAAATTAAAATATAGACCATAGCAAAACTACAGCCAGAGGCCTTCAGATTACTAGACAATAAACCTAACAGCTAAGCTAACATATACATATATCCTTTATGCATAAGTAAACTTACTTTGTTTCCCTTGGAACGTATACAGTATTATTACCAACGGAAGGGAATATAAATCTTGGAGTATTGTCATTCACATCCAAGACATGGATAAGGACAATAGTTGTAGATGATAATTTCGGTGAACCTTGATCTTCTACACGAACTGTCAATTCATATAATGGATATAATTCACGATCCAGCTTTGAACGACCCAAATATATTTGTCCATCTTTTGCAATGAAAAATCTACAAAGGAAAGGAAGGAAGGTTTTTAAATATGTACTAAATTTATAAATGATTAGTTTTGTCGAATTATTTTCATATAGACAAAAAGATGTTTCATAAGCTTACTCTTGTTTGATGGAATATTTTCATGAGAGCCATTATTAAGTTGAGCTTTATTCAGTAAACTGTTGTAAATACTGGTGAAAAATCACTGTCGTGTATGTAATACTTAGTATTCTTGTTACTTTACATCAGACAGGTCTACGACACATTCAGCGAGTAAAGTGACATGCCAACAAGGTTTGCACTAAATCCCTTTTAGATGATTAGGAGTGATTAATGAGACCTAAGCTTCATCTTTATTGGTACCAATCAGTAAGACACATCTGAAACCCTGTGTAAACATCTGTTCCCTCCGAGACCTAAAACCCGCGTCTCCTAGGGCATCAATAAAAAAATCACCAGTGAACTAATCAAGCCGTGACTGACTCTCCGTAGGAAAGCATCGGATACACAGACTGTTCAGTAGGGAGTTGCCAACATCAGTGACGCTGGTTCTAATCTCAGAGGGAACAACAATCTCTCTAACGTTTCACATAACTCTTGCTGACGATTACGAATTCACATGAGCTGTAAGTTCAAGGCTGCCTGCTGACTACCATTCGACACCTAAAAATATTTAAAAGAAACGCCGTAACTAAAGCGAAAGTCACTTCATATGTATTAGATTTCATATACCTCCAGGACTGAAACCAGTTAGGGAAGGAGAAAAAATGCTTCGAATACAAGTCTAGTGAGTGCTAAAAATATACCGAATATTCAAATGTTGTGAATAATAATTATTCAGTGATAACTAAAATTAAAATAAAATCTGATGAACCCATCACACCTTGTAATCCAATAAATCTTCAACTTATGTTATTATTGCTTTATCCAAACTTATTATAAAGGATTTGTGTATGAAATGTCCAACCTCAGGTAATTACAAATCTCAATAATACTTAGAATGTCTTTTTTCTCCCACATGTAATAACTACTTCGTTTGTATTTATGAAATACAAAGTAAAAAATACTACTTATAGAAATTAGATCAGTAGTGGATGCAACATCATTTAATACTCTTACTTTATATTGCATGAATCATCAACAGAAGAGAAAGTCAATAAAGAGATTAATTTGAAGCAACCTGTCAACATGATATATATATATATATATACAATGGGATAGACAGAGTGGCAGAGAGACACAAAGTTCAGTTATAATTGTATCGCAAATTATATCTTACACTTAGTCATACAATAAAACTGGGCAAATTAACTGAGAATTAATGAAATATATGAATCATTGTTTCAATTTTGCATTTAAGAATTACTATTTTGCAAATTTTATTTTGTAAACAAAACAAAACCTTCAACAGATTTACATTTTATGTCTATTTTCTCCTATTTTTTTAATATTCGCTGATATTCTTCGACAGAGAAATAAATAAATAGTTGGTTTTTGGTTTAGTCTTGTCATGTCCCTCACAAATGTGAGAGGGATAATGCAAACGTATGGCGCTTGCAGCAGGATTGGTAGACAAACTGGGCAAGCTGGAAAATCCTGATTCCAAACTCACGGTGTACATGAGCTGCAGAATCGGAAAGGAACGAATGACGTTGATTCTGTTTTGGTCACCAGCGATCATGGGAACGCAGCTCCACAAACTTGTGGGCTGGAACTCAAGTTGAGGGCTTGGACGGTGGCCCCCTAAACAACTATCTGCTTCGATTCGGGCGTTCGGGCAGTATCCCGGTCCTTCTGCAAGTCATGAGATTTTGTGTGACACACTTCTTGGTGCACTTAACGTACTAAGTTTGTGTTTTAGTAAATGTATACATATATGCATAATTCAGTAATAGTGTAATAAACATTAAATGTCTTTGCACTTCTGTAGTATGGACTTTTATTTCATCGGTAAATTTATTAAGTCTTTTTCCTGAGAATTACTCCATAATTCTTCTCTTACTGATTCTAGAATTTCACAGGGTTGTTTGATAGCTATGTAGAAGGAGGATCCGGACTGCCCAAGGTTGTCAATTAGTGATTTTAATCTTTAGAGGTGATGTTCATTGATTAGTTGATCACTAATGATTCGGAGATCATTCGTCAGCTTTTATTTAGGTGATTTACCTTCATTTGCAAGATAAAAGTCGATACATTTTTATAATATTCTTTTCTGTTAGAAGAGCACGGTAACATTTTGCCTGTACAGTTTACTATCAAATCTAGTTTGAAATATACTTCTCTAATTTATTCTTTGTTTCCTTCATAAGACTTTCAATTTTATGTCGAGATACTGATGGCAATAATCGAATACTGTTGATTTAGAGTAAACAGAATTCTTGTTCTGAGATTTGAAAAGTAATAATAATAGCTTTATTCTAAATAGTACTTCTAGTACAAATATGGAATTTTGAGAATGTTTTACAATATTGCATCTAATTCTCTCATTAAAGGGGCAGTAATCAAGATGGGACATTTACATTAATAATATTGTTCAAAAATAAATGAATCTGACATCAAATCAAGTGAAAATATTAACCAGAATGGTACAATGGGAACAAAAAACAATGCCATTTTCCTGAAGTCCTTCAGTAAGTTGGTAATTTCCTGTCTTATACTTTCACATCACATAAAATATGTGTCAAATGAGGTATTGTAGAGTTTTTGTAACTAGTCGTATGAGCATACAGTCTTCTACTGTTGCTTCTAGTTCAACCCAGCTGATGAGATGCAAGGAGAGAGCTGTGTATGGGGAGGATGTTCATAGTCTGAGAGGATAATATTTGCTAATTTCTCGCAGTAATCCGAGTGTCTGCTTACAGTAATATTAACAAGTTTGTTTAGCAACACCCCACTAGCCCTACTGACGGCTTTTAGCGCCCTACTTAGTATAACAAAGTCTTTCTCAAGTAACCAGGGGAAAGAGTTAAGAGGCATAAGCAGATTACAGGAATAAACAAACGGTATCAGTGGAGACGGATTGATACCAGATCGTCTTAACTTTCTTAAACAGAACATCAAACGAAGTATCTTTCTGGAAACTAACATGATGTGGGAAGACTAAGGCAGGTGATCAGATTAAATATACAGTCCAAAGTATTTAAAATTCTATTTGGAAACAACTTCAGTGCCATCTATAATAGTGGGACCGTACGAACTAACCAGTTCACGCAAGTTGCGCTTTCATCTGAAAGTGAAATTAGCCACCTGACTAATTTATGATAGAAAGTTGTTCATTTTGTAACAATCTGACTGAGAAGTAACCAGCCTAGAAACAGTCTGGTTATCAGCATACTTAACAAAACTAGCTTCGTCAGAATGGGGCAAGTCATGTAATAAGAAGGAAGACAGACGAGGAGAAAGAACAGCTCTTTGAGGAACACCGGATAGAGTAAGTGAAGCAGTTGACGATTTCCCACTGTTAACAGGGTACTGCCTTTTATCAGAAAAATAGGAATGCAACCAATTGGTAATCTAGCAATGTCCTTGTGACACAGCAAGCTTATTTAACAAAAAAGGCCTAGGTACGTAGTCGAAGGCAGATGTATAATCTGGGAAGGCACACCAAAGACATTTGGCATTTCTATCTAAGCTAGAGACAATTATCATATAAGACGACATTGGCATCTAAAGTACACCTGTTATGTTTAGAAGAAAATTTATTAGGGTTGTTAAAAGCCTTCAGTGAAGGTTCGAGGTGAATTAATGGCCTTAGGTCTGAACTTAACAGTTTGTCCACTTGATGATTTAGGCACAGAAACAATCTTAATGTCCTTCAAAGAAGGAGGCACAGTGTTACTTGAAAATGATTAAGTGAAAACACCAGAGAGAGGATGACATAAAATGTCAGAATATTTATTGAGGATAACAGCTGGTATATCGTCTGGACCTAGGGACTGAGAAGGTTTCAGCGACTTGAGACACTTGACGATATCGTTTCAATTAAAATCAGAGAGGCAGTCATTATTTACGCCTGTAGCATTTGATATCATAACATCCGATGAACGACATACGAATGACTTATTAAGCGTTCCAGCATCAATTGCAGAAGGATCATAATTTGTTTGCTTACCACTGGTGATTTCCTTAAATGGCTTCCACTTATATTTATTTTTATTTTATTTTTGATTACAGCTTGATGCCACACCGTATTTTCAGTACAAGTATGGAATTTTCAGCATGGATATCAGTAGCCCAAATTTTGCAGGCCGACCATAGATATCGGGTGTGCGCCGGCAGGGGATCGAACCCCGGACCATATGCATGGTCGGCGAGAGTCCTAGGCACTGTGCCACCGACTCACAGGCTTTGCATGATAAGAACTTTTGATTATAGATCATATCAGTTAATTGCCTGAATGTTTTCAGGTTTCACATGTGCACGGATTTCATGTAATATTATTGGTGTAGCACTGAAAATACGTCAGTGCAATTAAATTAATTTCGACGTGCATTACATAATAGACCAACATTAGTAAGAAGCTAACTGAAACATCAGAGTACCCTGAGTTTATATCTTGTTGCCTTGTTGAAGAGTAAATGACTCAAATAAATTCTTCAGAATCATTCTTCGTTTCATGTTGACTAAAATTACACGTATGTTGATCACTGAGGAGTAATCACTGTCATGCGTCCAATCCCTGGTGCTAACTGAATCATACTAATCAAGTTTGCAATGAGGTCAAGAAGGTGGATGAAACATGACCCTAAATGATTCATCAGTGATCAATCAGTGAATCCATTACAGTTCCAAGAGTAATTAATCTTCTCAGAAGTAACTTCCTGGCAAAGCCTTTGATTGTAGTGTCGCTCGATAGTGTTGATTCCCAGAAAAGTTGTAGATTCACGTTACTGATGACTTCTGATAAACTTGGAACCAATGTCCAAGTGTCTCCAAATATCTTTAAATTTTTGGCTTAGTTAAACATTTTCTCCTCATGTTTTAGGAAAGTTTTTTGGATATTAAACAGAAATATT